CCGATGGGCAAGCGCTGTTTTTTGGGAAATTCAAATTACAGAAGGATTGTAATCAATCCTGCTAATCAAAAAGTGTTTTGGGGCTAGTTGAAATGACTTGTGGGCTAGTACATGCTGGCTATAGCTTGCCCAAATGGCAGGCTATAAAACTGACTTTCTTTGCACCCTGCAATAGCCAATTAAATTTTGACTTATATTGAAAAGAAATGTACACATGTGTACTTATGTTTACGTATGTTTTGTTATAGGTTTTATTCCCTTCTTTGCGCCCTTGATACCCCTTTGGAATCATAGGGCCGCATTTCCCGAAAAAGTGTGGCAATGCCGCAATGCCCCAATGCCACGGTCTGGTAAGAACATTGCAAAACTCAAGGTTCAAAATCCTGGTCCAAATTACAAGAAGACTTACCTGGGGACAAGAAAGTTAACAAAAGTCTCATAAAAGTGCGTTGTATTTTTCAGATTGCTGATTGCTCCAGCAATTCCTTTGTAAATCTCTGGTAACTCATCCAGGAGACTGAGTAATTCTGATTTAACATTTTCTCCCTGAAAAAAGGGGGCAAAATGGGACAGGACACGATTATTGCTAACTAATTAGGCAACAACAAGTACACATCTTCAGGAAAAAATATCAGTTGACTTCAAAGGGATCAAGTAATAGCTACAACCAAAACAAAAACTTTGAACCAAGATTTTTGACAAGGATTATAGGTTATTATTCTTACCTTAATACCCATCTGTTTACACACACTGTGATATTTCTCTTTGAATGTTACAGCATTGGAGGAATATTCACTTTCTTTCCTTGCGCACTCCTGAAAATATATGAATGACATTCAATTAATAACTGCACATACAATATCAAAAGCAAAATCTGTTCCTTGAATGCCAAGTAACCATAAAGCCAATTACATGTACAATAAATGCCTCCCATGACTATGTGCTACACATAATTTGAAAATAAACAAAGAGAATATCAGTCTATGATAAACATGTACAGAAAAAAGAGAAGATCTACAACAGTACCACAAACCAGGGGCATACTAATCTACTGGCAATTATAGTTTAACCCTTTGAAGAATGGATCTTCTCCACATTGTTTTCCCTATAATCACTGATCTAAAAATAGAAATTGAAATAATTATGTCATCCTTGATGTTGATCCTTAATCCTTTGAATATTATACATGTACTGGAAATCTTCATGTTAAAATAAACTGTAGGCATGAAAATTAAATTTATCAATTATTTTTAATGGACGTGAGCTCTTACCCGCTGAGTTTGTTGACACTTTGCTATTTGTCGTTTTATTGCAGGAATCTCATAATTGACGTTCCTAATCAACAGATGCGCTGCCTCCGCTACAAAAAAAGAACCATTCATTTAAGGTTGTAATGATTTGCATACATTATAGTATTACATGCATTGTGTCAGGCTGGAACCCATTCTCATTGAGCTCTCCCTGATTAAGACATCACCAGAAGGACTGCAATCGCTACAGTGTAAATGTATCTTGACCTCTAGTATAAAAATACAATGATATTATACATTGTACTTACTATCTGTCTTCTCATTGACTAGGAGCCTACAGTTAATTTTGAAAATCAGCACAACTTACAGATTAGTTAGTTATCTGCTAATGTTTAGGTTCACAAAAATATGACAACAAAATCAATATTATCATTACCTAAATTGACATTATTCTTTTCATAAAGCCTCACAATTTCCTGCCAGTCCTGTCACACAAAAAAGTATCTGATTCAGTAAGCAACAGAAATGATAATAATAAGCGAAATCACTGAGATAACAGATGTACAAGAAATCATTGCTTATTCAAAATTCCAATTCAGTCTTCATGTCAGTCAACATCGTGTTATTATATCTCACATGCACACATAATCTACATGAATTACATGTATCAACAAGAAGCTGTGCTGTTTAAAAGACAGGTTATCTCACCACATCTACATAATACAAGTAGTTATGATAATAAGAATAATAATAATAAATAGTATATTTACAGTCGAACCTGTATTAAGCGGCACCGTAAATTAAGCAATCACCCTATATTAAGCAGTCAGTTTTCAAAGTCCCTGAAAATTACTTCCCTTGATGTACTGTAATTTCGACCACTATTAAGTGGTCGCGGTCACCATTTGCGAAGTCCCAACGGGAGTTTTTCTATTGTCTTGACCTGTATTAAATGGTCACACGGTGTCAATTACTTGTTCATACAGTTTCAAATAATGTAACACATAAGGTACAACAACTGATTTCCTTGTTTATTTTCACAAATCGTTAAAACACCAGAAATGAATGTTTCTATTTGAGGTCAAACGTCTGATCTGATCAGCACTGGAGATCAAATTCTTTGAACTGTATTTCTTGCAACCTGTATTAGGCAGTCACCCGGTATTAAGCAGTCACTTAGCCTTCCCTGAGGGCGACCGTTTAATACAGGTTCGACTCTAATATTAATAGTAGTAGTAGTAGTAGTAGCATTAGTATAAGTATCACAAACCTTCATTCTTTTAGACGAGTAACCACCAAAGATGTTTTTTGTGGCAGATTCCGACACTTTTAATAGTTCCACAATTTTGATACAGTGAAAGTAGTTAATATCTGAAACAAAATTATATTCCAGCACTTTATTTATTATACTGTATATTTACATGTGCTGTAGATAAATATGTTTTTACATTGAAGCAGTATTCAGCCTGGTTTGATTCAGGATTTCCTTTCCTTTCTCAGCCCTAACTGTTCATACTGTCAGAGGAAAAGAAATTCCACTTAAACACTAGAAAGGATTTTACTGACTTATATGCCCACTATGTCTTTTATGCTGCTGTCATCTCAATGCTTTTAATATCTTGAAAATAACAATAAAATGTAACTGAATAATGCTAAATATAAATAACATACCATGACTGTATATATGTATTGTTTTACTTTGCTGTTAAAAGTTGAAAGCAAGTTCAAGAGTAGCACATGTACCTGAACTTTTTCTCTCAGTTATTACAATGGTTTTATCTAAACTGGGCATTGTGTTAGATCTCATTTCTTTAACTGGCTGTGAAGTAAATTCTAATTCCAGAATGAAGATGATGTGAACTGAGGAAAAACAAATCTTAATGAAGATATATTCACCACAGTGTTAATTGCAATTTAAGCAATTGCAAATTGTTCCCAAAAAAATTTCAGGACTTCAAAGGGATTGTATTCTATGGCCTCTGCATCAGCGCTGCAGTGCTCTACCAACTGAGCTATGAAAACCCATACATTGGGAGCAGGACAATTTGTTGATTTCATCTTAAACCGTAAATGGAATGAAACATAGAATGAAAATGATATGAACTGCAGAAAAATTCTTCATTTAAAATTTAATTCATATAAAATATTTCTAAATATATAAACAATTAAATTAACTCACAAGTCCCAGTAAGAAGCTGAGAGATTTCATCAACAGGAGGCATGTCTTGGATGGCTGCATTAATTTTTTCCCTGATTTCCAAAACTGCTGCTTGCCATTTCACATCACAGTGTCTTCTGTCCAAAAGCCAGTCTGTTACAACATAAACACAGTGCTTTGATAAAGTTGTTCTGTACTGTACACAAAACACAGAGCTACTGTACAATACCATCCACAGTACAGTACATTAAGATCATAGTGGAGATCTTGCGTGCAAAGCGCGCAGCGGAGCACTATGGGTAAGAAAATGTGGTAAACTACCCATCCGAGAAAATTTGGTAATCACGTGACCATACACCGACTGCCCGACCATCCGTCCGCACCACAGGCATACTAATGTAAAATAACTCAATCAACAGGTATGGCAACCCAAATGCAACTTGAGGTTATTTTGACAGGAAATCGCATAGCCACCCGCGTCTTGTAGAGCAGAAACAACTAAAGGGTCAATGAAGAGGAAAATGGAAACCGGAAATTGTCTCTGTATCGGTGTTTTCTAAAGTATTCAGCCTAGATTAATAATTATTGTCATATTGTCAAGTCCACCAATTCGGAATATAGAGCAAGAGAAACACAGAGAAAAAGAGAAAGTAGGCGGCAGGCCAGCGAAGCTCAACAAGAAAAAGGGCGACAGAGATTTAGAGCAAGAGATTAAAAACAAAGGAGACAATTTTTTTTGTTGGAAAAACAACATGAAAATTTTGTAACGGCAGAGACAAAATAAGAAATGCTCTAAATCTATATATTGTTATCCATAGTGAGCTTCCTACTGTTATAAATGTATATGGGTAATACAATGTATTAAAAACTTCCACTCCATTCCAAACCAGGGAAATTGAACAATTAACTGATAATCAATAGTTATTTTTAGTTTTGGGGCTTATACCGCTTCCACTAACCCACAACCCCTTCCAGGGGATTACCACATTGGTGAGTACATGATCTTCTTTAAGTATATGAGAACCATATACAAATGCGCACTTTACATAAGCTTTCACGTACTTTAAAACTGATCATAGAAAGAGAGCTGAGGTTAACACGGTTTTCGCAATGCAATGTCAGTGGGAGGGTACAATGTACATGGCTCAAATATTTTTCTACCCAGCCAAACAAGGAGTTTTAACTAATTGGTTTAGTACAGCAGATACTGATAATTCTAAGATTAATCAAAATAAAGGAAAAATTAAGGTTACTAAAGAGCTTTTCTAACTTACCAAGAAGTTTGTTGTAATAAATATCGATAGGTAATAACTCTGCCTCTCTCAATTTAGATTCATCCTGTTTCTTTAAGATTGAAAAACAAAACAGAGCGTTAACTGTTAATCGATTTCAAAGAGTTTCTTTTTAAAACTAGCACAACAAACCTGCATTTTCACAGTATCCTTTTAAAAACACGTATCCTTTATTAACGAAACCGCTGGGTGAAAAGACGGTTCGCAAGAAATCGCGCCTGCGATCACCTCCAGTAGCGTACACTGTACAATAAAGGATCTTATTCATTTATGTGTCATAACGCTTATCCGCGCGAGATTCCTCGTGTCCAACACGCGTGTTTTTACCATTCATCATGCACTCTGTGTTCCGAAGTGGTTTGTTCGAAGGGAAAGTGGCCATTGTTACTGGCGGTGGAACAGGCATCGGAAAAGCAATAGCTAGAGAACTGATCTACCTAGGCAGTAAAGTTGTGATCTCCTCTAGAAAAGAGGAAAAACTACTCAAGGCGGCCGTGGAACTTTCGCGTTATATTCAACCTTCCAGCAGCGCTGAAGTTAAAGTCATACCTTGTAATATTCGAGAAGAACAACAGGTAATTTTATTAACTATTTTGTCATCTTTAAACATATCCGTGAAGCCAACCTTCAGTGTGATTTTGAAAGATGAACTTATTGCATATACCATATTTTCTTTATTTACAACGTTGCTACTAATGTCTTGTCATTGATTTAGCGTAGGCCCCTGCCTGCAGCTCTTTGTTATCACTGGGAACTGGAGTTTTATCCCCGGGCAAGGGAGGAGTTGCTCCCCTGGGATAAAATTGCCTATTCCGGGCATTCAGAAAGTAGGGCATGGGCGGAAAATTGCTCACCTCGCTCCCTACCATCTGAACGCTTGGATCAGGCTAGCTTGTTGACCTTTTAGGGGTTAACATTACATTGTGGCCTGGAGCTGGTTAGAGGGCTTTATATTCTACTGGATCCAATCAACCCCCTATACATGTCATTTCCCTATCCCCAAGCCTTTGGTTGACTGGAAAATCAGGATCGGTCTATTATGATTCTGTTCCAAATATTTTAATAAAAAAGGAAAAAAGTTATCATGTATGGGTCCCCAATCCCTAATCGTTGTTCCCCGATCCTGCTTTTCCAGGAAACTTAACCTTTTGTGATATATACATTCATACACTACATTAGAACACCAACAAAAAGATTTTTTAAAATGCATTTTGAATTCTTATACTCTTTGTTCTTTGTTCCCATAGTTCCCTCAAAAACCATACCTTATTCCAGACCAAAATAATTAATTGGCAAAGTCAATACCTGTTTTTAGATCGAAACAGCACAAAAACCATACCCTTCGGGCAGCACATATAGTACCTATATGGCTTACGGAAGGGAGTACCCCCAGGCTTATTCAGGTGTTTAGATACATGTACATGACATCTGTACTCCTCAAACAGCTGTCAGGAAGGTGAGAATGAAGCTAAACTGGTAAACCCACAATGAATCCTCACAGGCTGAGAATGATTCTCCCTGAAATTCCAAAGGCCCAGATCATAACCCCAAAACTTCAAGCATATCCTGGAGGGTTAATTTTAGGGTGTTTGAGTTTTCAGTTGATTAATAGTCTTCCCTCTCGAATTGGGATGGTTAACCTGTAAAATTACAGTTACCAGTAGTAACAAAATTTTACTTTTGTCTCCTTATAAAGTGAGTATTTTCTATCTTTCAGGTAACCAAATTGGTTGAAGAAACCCTTGCCTCTTATGGAAAAGTCGATTTTCTTGTGAACAATGGAGGAGGACAGTTCATGTCACCTGTTTCAAACATGTCAGCTAAAGGATGGAGAGCTGTTGTTGACACAAACTTAAATGGCACATTTTTGTGCTGCAAGGAAGGTACAAGAAGAAGTTCAAAGCTTATGATTTATGACATTTTTTGTGAATAATATTATCTTGTAATAATTTATAGTGAAGTCTGAGAGAACCCAAGAAAGACCATGGTTAATAATTTTTTACATGGTAACTTTCTTTATATGTACATGAATGTATGCAGTGTGAACACCTTAGAGAAATATTGTTCTCCTGGGTAGTTTCGAAAACGAAGCACTCGAAAATGAAGACCGAAGCACGAAGCACCCAAATCTCGAAAACGAAGCACCCTATCTCGAAAACGAAGCACCCAAAACTCGAAAACGAAGACTCCTAAATCTCGAAAACGAAGCACCCAAAACTCAAAAACGAAGCATCCAAAACTCGAAAACGAAGACCCCTAAATCTCAAAAACGAAGCACCCTAGATCGAAAACGAAGCACCCAAAACCGTGAAACCGGTCTGTCCTTTATAAACACGAGACCAATGCTAATACAGCCGGAATCAAGCACGATAACGAATCGAATTCTCCTGTTCCCCACCATGGAGCCTGGTCCCAGGCTGTTATCCTGGTCCCTGCCTGGATCTGATCTGATCTGATCACGCAGTGTCATAGATACCCAATATGTTAGATTGCAAAACAAAACATGCAAAACATGGCGTAAGAGTAATACGCGCGAGCCTCACACTCCGTTTTCAGCCTCGTTTCAGACCTTTTGTGTTACTGCTCATGATCTCGCGTACTTGAATACGCCAAAATCTGCTGACGGACAGTTTTGAAGTCTACATAAACATGTATGTGTACCGAAAAAATGCATACTAAGGTAAGATGTATCAAGTATAGTGAGACGAATAATAAAATTAAAGTTGCACTTATTAAACCTACAGTGGTTTCGAGTTTTGGGTGCTTCGTTTTCGAGATTTAGGGGTCTTCATTTTCGAGTTTTGAGTGCTTCGTTTTGGAGTTTTGGGTGCTTCGTTTTCAAGATTGTGGGGTCTTCATAACATAACATAACATAACATAATCTTTATTTAACGTGGGAGAAACACTTAGCTAAAGCTATTTTGCAGGTTTTCCACAAATCAATATTAAGAAAGAAAGAAAGAAAATATGTACATAGAAGTGTAAAAATATAAAATATCTAGCATCTAAAATTACAAAATTAGATAACTAAAATTGAATATTCCTCACTTGTTTGTTAAATTCTAGTCCTCCAGCTCTTAATCGCAATTCGTTTGGAATACTGTTCCATTGTTTTGCGGCGAAATATCTGAAGGAGTTTAATCCATACTTTGTAGTATTTACTTTTGGCAGTGATAGCGTATTATTGCCCCTTAAATCGTACTTGTTGTCTCTCATTTTAACGAGTTCCTTAATGCAAGTGGGGGCGGTGCCTTGAAAGCAGGCGTTTATAGTTATTCGTTTTCGATCTAGGGTGCTTCGTTTTCGAGATAGGGTGCTTCGTTTTTGATCTAGGGGTCTTCGTTTTCGAGTTTTGGGTGCTTCGTTTTCGAGTTTTGGGTGCTTCGTTTTTCGAGATTTGGGTGCTTCGTTTTCAAGATTTGGGTGCTTTGTGCTTCGGTCTTCGTTTTCGAGTGCTTTGTTTTCGAAACTACCTGTTCTCCTGCTAGTAGGTGCGTATATGTGTAAGGGCACGAGTCTCCTGGATATGGCACTAAAATCTCCCAGTCCCCCTGACAGGTCACCAAATCTTCTGCATACATGAAAAATTAACTGTTTTGTTTTTTCTGTGCTTTAGTGATGTAGCCCAAATTTTTTCAAAATTCAAACATGTTTTTTATTTGAAGTTTTAATTTGGTTTCTGAAATGATTTTCAATGCTTTTGTCATAAAAAAACCGTTTTTTCAATATTACTTAGTACTTGATTCATGGAAGGGACTAATGGCTATTATTTTTCTTTTGTTTTTGAGTCTTTGCTTCATTTAAGACTACCGGTACTTAAAATGTTCTGAGGCACACCCAAACCTAATTTATGATTGGGAGAGTGGGTTGATTTGTATGTATCGAGGGTGGGGTGGATTGATATTAGGAAGGTTGGTACTTCATCAGAGACAGTATCCAGATTTAAAATCTCCATAGCTTGGCAGTGACAGTTGACTAGTAATAGCTGTCCAACTGCATGTTTGACAGCAAAAATGTCAATGGCAAGTGCGAGGGGGAGAAAAGCATGAAAGGGAAAAAGGAAATATACGTCATTAAGTTACTCATTAGGGCTTAGCCAATCAGGAATTTGTGGACAAAAGGAAGTCCTTGCAGGCATCCCTTACCCTCTCTCCAATCCCCCTCTCCTTCTCGCCTTCTCCTAATCCCCGATCCCTTTTGACACCTGTTAGGCAGGCTACAAGTTTGCACCCTATACAAACATGCTTTTCTGTCACATGTCCAGGCGCGGATAAAAATCACAGCATACCTTTTTTCTGTCCTTCTTGTTTAGTATATAGATTGTGGATGTCTGACAATGGTGGTTCCATTGTAAATATTATTGCAGACATGCGTAAAGGTTTTCCAGGGATGGCGTAAGTATATATAGTGCACATGTCACTTTGTTGCTTTTTGTTGTGTTATCTGTGCATTTGTATAGACACTTAACATAACTGTGACAGATCAATAAAATTGAGTATTTCTTGGTGATGTGGAAACTACTGGTATTATTAGTAAGGTATTTTGTTTTATTATTAGTGTTTGTTACTATTGTTCAGTATTTTTTCAATCTTTCTTATCACAGTCTGTTCGTCATATTTTGATGATTGCACAAACCACAACAGCAAGAGACTAGTTAGACTTGCATCTCTGATTTCTGCCAAATGAAGTGGAAATCATTAAGGAAATGTTCAACGGTATCTTTCCTTATCAGCAAAAAAAGCCACAGGCCAAAATTTTGTAAGTTTTGCACGCCTCTGAAAACTAGCAAAAATCAAGGGGACATTTCTGCCCACAAAAAACAATGAGGCTACAACCAGTTGCAAAACTGCTGGAGACACTGCACCATATTTTGGCTTAAATAGCCTGGCCATGATCTTGTGCTTGTGATTCCCCCTCTTGCTAGCAATACAAGACCATGCTCAAAACTTGGAAGAACAACATTGAATGGAGGGGAGGAGGAAGGTGAGTGTTACATCGCACAGAACTGTAACTAGCAGCGATTTGAAGTGAGTGTCTCAACATTTTTGCAACTGGTCAGTGAGTACCCATTCCAGTGGCTTGAGTTTCATACCAATACACCCATGTGCTGTTTTTGTGACTTGCCATATCAGAGTGTCATTCATTCTCTTCATAAAAAAATACAATTGTCTGTTGTCTTTCCGTTTTATTTTTTATTTTAAAAATTAAGCCACACTGGTGCAGCACGAGCAGGAGTCCAAAATTTGACCATGAGTTTGGCTGTGGAGTGGATACGAAATGGAATAAGAATCAATTGTGTAACTCCAGTAAGTTCTATTAAGTTGAATCGAGAAAATCGTACTGAACCTTCCCTGTATGCAAAGTGATGCAACTTAAAAGCAACAACACAAACTCTACGCCCAGCTATAAACGAGGGACATATCCATAGATACAGAAAGAAAAGTTCATATTTGTTCACGGTATGTTTAGGTTGGAAATTTTGGAGCAATTTGTTTTAAGCCTTTCATGTACGAGGTTCATGACGACAAATTGAGGACAAGAAAGTGAATTGAAAATTTTCCATTTTCAAAGACAAAATTAAGCCATGTTCATTGCCTGGGAGGTGCTCTGTAGTAATTCTATTTCTACTATTTATAGACACGTTGAATAACAGTTTAAACTGTATTTTAATTTGGTCACACTTTTTTTAAGGTTACTGGATATCTCAGTCAGGGGTGTCCGCTCACAATGACATTCAAGTAATGTAGCGTGTTCCGGGTAGGCTTACCCTGGGTGCCAGAGGCTTTTCATGCGCGGTTTCCGGTTTCGGTCAAGTCTTAAAAAGTGACCCGCGCGAAAAGCTTTTTTCTCCTGAAAAGTTTGTTCTGACGGCTTCGCCGCTCGTGTCTTTGTCCTTCGGCCGAACAGGGGTCGGCCTGCGGCCGACGAAACGAAACTCCCCGACGTACGCGAGAAAAAACCTCTGGTACCCAGGGTAGGGTAAGCTACATTATACACTGTATCTTAAAATCTATATCAAACTGAACCTTATTTATACGGCTGTTAATCATTTTTTTAAACATCACACTGTCGATTTTTTATTAAACAGTCTCATCAGAGAGATTGAGAGTCACGTCAACGGCCAACGGCAAATGTCAGATTCAAGTTGAGAATCTCACAAAATAGAAAATAACCAGATAAAAACTGTCCAGAACAATTCCTTTGTGTGAAACTACTTATTTTTGTGTAGAAGTAATAAACAACAAGCGACAATTCAGGGGGAAACATGGTCACGTGGTACCAATTCACGTTCGCCTTTTGGCGTAAACGTGACTTTTACCGGGAAACAGTTCAGTTTGTTTCCCTAGAATCTCAACGTTTCCCGAGGCGGAAGCAGTATATATGTCATGTGACCTCGAAGTGCAAGGAGAGCGCGTGCTTGTGGGGAAAAAATTTCCAGCTATAAAACAATGACTTGTAGATGCGAGCGTCCAAAGTTAAAACTTCTTTTTTTAGAACGCTCGCATTTAAAAATTGTTAAAAAATTGACAGGGCGATATTTTTAAACAAATGTAATTTTTCTAAAAACCCGTGCAAACGAACGCAACATTGTTGGATGTTACATGTTGCGTACGTTTGCACACTACGTTGCATATTGTTGCGTGTTTTTGGGAGTACTAGTTGTTGCATCCGTTTGCACACCATTGCAACACGGACGCAACAACACGCAGCATTGTTCGCGCCACAATGTTGGGAATTTTTGCGTCCGTTTGCACGTAGTTTAAGACAGCCAGGTTAGTGAGCTTCAATTTGATATAGGCATTTAGACGTTTGCAGCTTAATCAGAATACACTACATGACCAGCACCTACACACCCCTGAAGATGTCCCGTAACCTTAAAAAGTCTTTGTTAATTCTTTATAGCCTACAAAAGGTGTCAAATCAATTGAGTGTGCACTGTACATTTATTTACAGGGTGTTATCTACTCTGACACAGCTGCTCAGAACTATGCTGACCCTGAATTGTTTCAGAAGTTGCGTGATAAGCTGCCAGCTAGAAGGTGTGGAACTACAGCAGAGGTGAATTGTGTTGTCGTAGATGTACTGTTTCATTGGATTGCCCTGTAGGGATCTCCCCTGTAGAATAATCGACTGAATGTATTGTACTCACTATCTATCTTCTCATTGGCTAAGAGCCTATAGTTAACATCGCAACCTACAAAGGAGTCATTTATCTGGTAGCAGATTACTGACTAGTCTGTAGGTTGCGCGCGCAATGCGTAATTTTTAAGAGCAATATCAAACTTTGATCCCTGCGACGGTGTGTTTGTTGTTGTTTTCTCAAAACAAAGTATATCAAAGAAGCATTCGGTTAAGTGTTATCACCCCAGGCCAAAGGCCTTTGTGTGTTCTTCGCTTCGATAATTTGAAGTTTAGAGTCGAAAAATGAGCAAAATTAACGATAAAAGCCCGTGTTCAGCCGCCCGGCCCTCTCATCAAACAGTGAACGATAACAGTGACCAAACTGTTCGTTTTTAAGACGTCAATTGGCCTTAATTTAATGAATTTGCCTCCAATTTGAAACACGTGTTAGGAGCTGAAATTAGAACTTTTGTAGGGTATTGTATAAATTCTTAAAAACAATTACCCAAAAAAATAAGATCGAAAGACTCCCGAAAATAAGAACGAAGACCCCAAACATTTACCGAGACCTTTAAGCTTAAGCTTTTCCAGTCCTGCTTATTTGTGCCCGTTTTTGGCCTTAATTTTCTTTTTTTTTTTCACTATAAGTTCATTTCTTTTGCCTTCACATCAGGTTGCAGGGGCAGTTACCTTTCTCTTGTCTCCTGCCGCAGCCTACATAACAGGAACAACAATTGATGTAGATGGTGCTTCTAGTAAGGTCTATGCCTCTCTGTTTCCTTCAGGTAACAATAGACGTTAAAAGTGTTTGTTATTTGTACTGTAAAGTTTTAGATGTAAGAAGCACGTGGTTGATAAAAATATCTGACCGCTCATATAAAGGTGACAAATGTTTGTAGTCGATTTCCAAGAGTTTCGAGCTTAGTCCTTCATCAGTGCAATACTTTTGTTGTGGCTGCGACATCGGGAGACCCTATACAGTGTACATGTTACACTGACTAAGCCTTTTAAAGTGTTTTGAGTACATTCACGTAAATTAGTTATTTCCGACGACAACATGGTGCTACTGTAAATCCGAGAGTGCGCTAAGAACTCGAATTATTTTAGTATCCACCGAAATGAGCACTGCCCGAGCTTTCCTCTCAGCCGGTCAAACATCTTCAATGGAACATAATCAAGATGTTAACGTTTATTGCTTTTGTTCAGTTGCAGATCACTGTTCTCTGTCAGAATATTCGTGGGATGAACCATCAGTCAAGAGCAAGCTGTAGGTTCCATTCCAACTTGAGCACGTATGGTTAATGGTGACAACATGATGCACGTGAACGAAATACGAGGAACGGTCATCAAAAAGTTAATTGTTGATCTGGCTATTCAGGTTTAATGAGACAAGGGGCATTGAGGTGTAAAGGAACATGCAACTATCGATGACTGCACTTGGCATTCACTGTGGTTACCGATTCTATCGTTTTTGCTTCCCTTTGGGCAAGTTCTATGGCCACCTGTCACCCTGGAAAGGCTCACGGTCCCTTTACTATCCGTGCATTAGTTCATATCTCCACTCTGAAGGTTCTTCGGCAACTTTCTTCGTTTGTTCGTTCCGTTCGTTCGCTTAACCATACATCTCTTATAACTTGACGTTTCCTACCGGAACGGTATCGCTATTTACAGTGTGCGAAAGCAGTTTTAGTATGCTACACAAATAGGACAGCATTGACGACGAATCTTACTTTTGAGGAACAACGAAAACGCAAATCTACCATAAATATTTTACAATTTTATTATTATATTCGCTTGTTATCAAGGAATCGAAAGACCGAAGACGAAGTCGCGAGAATTTATCCCATTAGAAAATATATGAGTGGTGGGACTTCTTGTCGTATAATCTGAATAAATTCATATCCTTCTGCTATATAATAAACCTTACTGATGCCAGTGCCTCCTGTTTAGTCTGAACTGTTTTTCTTTCTTTCTTTTTTCCTTCTTTTTCTTTTTTTTGTGATTTTTGATATAAAGGTTTGCACACTTGTTGCATTTGTTTCGTGCTTTTCACCGAAATTTCTTCTAGTGCCTTCATGAATGCAGGTTCATTCCTATATTTTTTCAATGGTCCGTTGAGTAGACAACAAAGTACTCATATCCTGATTCTAGCGTAAAAAGAAACCATCTTATTTTTATGCGCATGCCCGCACTCTCCTTGTTACCCAAACTGAATAATAAGCCGTCCTTTAGTTGTCCTGTAAATGTGAATATATATCTCAATGTTGTTACGAGGTTGGAAAAATCACAGACTACAAGCATTAAGTAAACAAATTACTTTAATCCATAGCATTTCCCATGCAGCTGTCATTTAACGATTGAGGTAGCTTGGCAAAAAAAAATCTTGTCCCAAATTGAAACTCTTCGCCTTTTAAAAAAACAATTTAGATAACTGAGCAACTGCGGTGTCAATGATTGAGGTACTAGCTTTCAACTGCTTATCCCTAATTGAAACTATTCGCCTTTAAAAAAAAGATAAGATCCCTGCAGAAAACTACGGTGGCTTTCAATAGACAAAAGCACCCACGTTAACGTTTATTCCCCGAAACAAACTACATTCTACTTTTATAAAAGCTGTGTAAGTTAGTACAGCGCTGTAAACCAGAGTTACATGCTGAACAAAGTTACTGAGATTTGTACTTCCACAGAGTATTAGCGACAAAGCACTATGATGTCTGGTTCTTCTATTCAAAGGCGGGCGGATCAGTCACAGCTCGGTTCACCATCAGCTACATCTCTTGTGGCCTGCTTGAATTCATCGCAAGTTATCTTCTGATCAGAGTTGGTGTCAATGATTTCAAACAATTCTCGACCATCTTCCTGCATCAGGTCAATAGCATCAGTAAACTCTCCTCTTGTTAGCTCACCATCGCTGTTACTGTCATACACTGTAAACTTTGAAGGTAAAGCTGGTTCTTCACTTTCATCTAAAAATGATCTCTTGACGAATCTGCAAGGGTTTCTGCATCTTATACGACAGTACCTCTGAACGGGGCATCCTCTGATACGGCAGTTTCGATATGGGAAACAAACTCTTCGGCATCTGAGTCGACATATTCGACGTCTTCTACTTCCACGCCTACCATCAGCACTGCACACCAGTGCTATGAACAGCATAACGAGGAACACAAACTTAATAGCTGCGGCCATTTCATAAGCGTACTAATCCAAAGTTCTACGAGTTTTAAAGAAAAAGTGATTTACGTTTAATTTTATACTTTTGCGGATCCAATTTTGGGGTAAATATTGACGCGTGTATGGATGTCAAATTGACGCTTGGTGAGCTAAACTTAGATCGCGGTGTACTCAAAAAGCTCAAGTACAGCTGTAACACTAACAACACTTTTTAACGATATATTATTTCAGAAATCGTTTCAGCTCAAACAAGAATTCAGGAAGCTGTGATTTGTACGTTAGCAAGTGATGGTAAATGTCTGAAAAAAATAAATAAATAATAAACAAATGGTATTGTTAGTAGCACATCCCAGACTCTCCCATTTCCCAGGTATAATCAGATTTAGTTAAATTTTTCAAAGGAGCGATTTCAACTTTGGTTTCAAGAACTATACTGCATGACTGCATGTATGCAACCCATTTAGTAAATAGAACAAACTCGTTGTGAAAAGTGGCAAATATCAAAGATGAAAACAACGGTGTTGTAGTTTATGCTGAGAGCTCGCTGACGGTTTGGAGAAATTGTGACGGAATAAACTATTTTGCGACGAGTTTTGGTCAGTAAGATTAAAATATAGGAATGCTATTGAAGATTGTACACCTTCATGTCCGCAAAATTATATAACAAAGGACTTGACAGGTTTAATAACCTTTGCACTCGATGTACTCAAGTAGGCCGTAAAGTGCCGAAACGAAGTATCTCCGGAATTAATCTCATTCCAATGTTGTAAAACCCCAAATTCTCACAGACAAGCCATCACTCACCAATATTAAACTCATTGGTAGACTGTACAGTCACGTTGACTCGAAACTGAATGGTTCGCTTCTTTGCTGGAATCTTACACGATCTCGAAAAATTGATCAAAATATCGTTTCAGCGCACAGAGGAATTTTCGAATCTATGATATGGTTGGAGGTGGTCGCGGGGAAACGGAGTTAAATATCTAAACTTAAGAAAAGGCCAGTTATTTTTATTATTGCGTTTGTATTAACCGAGACGAAATCAACTCCATAAGCAGAAAACAACTGAAACGTACGTGTTCAGTATCAAGCCGTCTTGACCCGCACGTCCAACATGGTCAACAAATAATTTATTATGAAGAAAAATATATTTTCTCATGTGGGAAGAAAGTGGATCATCCCGAGCTGACGAAAAAAGGCTCATTTTGTAGCCAATCTGAACACACGATTCGCTTTCTCCAGGGGCACCCAACGAGAATATAGTGCAAAACTACTTAAACATAGCATCGTTAAACGTATTTTAGTATTTAAACGGTAGATATAGGCATATTTTTATCCCCAAAAATTTTTTATCTGTTCGGATTTCCTAGCTGAAAGTCTTGTGATCCGAAAATTATAGAGATCAAAACTTACCTTTTCGAAAGTTTCAGCCAGAAAAAAGACTCCCGAAAATTCTAGGTGACCTTTTTAGGTTAAAAATCCGTTAAAAATGGGCAATTATACCGTTTTTTGATTGTTCGAAAATCCTAGGAGAGGTAGGCAAGCAAGAAATTTTACAAAAAATGTTCGGAAAATTCTGGGAGAGGGAGATCTCAAATCGTCTTCCGAACAGATATTTTCCGAAAATTGACGTTGGGTGCCCCTGTTTCTCTTGCCCGGGATACCAGCCAAATGAGAAAGTCGGCTTTTATTAAGAATACCTTTCGTAAAACAAAACCATTTCCTGCTGCTTAGTTCATTTATACTTCTTACTTCTTCGTGTTCCATCTAATCATAATCATACGACAACAATAATTATAATTCTAGCCGGATTTCTGAAAACCGATTACTGCCAAATGGACCTGTCTGTCAAACAGTGGTTTTTCTTTCGGCCAAAAACTATTTCCAAAGTAGGCATTATAAAAACTAAGAGGGCAACCCATTGCTTTTCTTTTTCTCCAGTCTCCTCCTGTTTTTCGTCCTCCTTGCTTCTTCTTTTTCTCAGTTCCATTTCCTTCGTTAGTGTGATTTCTTCCTCGGGCGTAAAAAACCTGCCCGCTTTTGTTCCCTTCTCACTCAAATGACTGCAAATTTCGTTAGGTTCGTTTTCGAAGAATCGGCTGGATTTGTAATGATAATGATAATAAAACTTTTATCATCCATTTCTATGCTGAAAGAAGGTACACAGGATTTACGATCACGGTACGTAAAGAAATTATAGTGAAGCAAGAATTGTATTTTGTTGCGTAAAATGTATATTATTTATGTAGTAAGATCGTAAGCGCGATCTGTTGAAATACAGTAGAACCACCATTTGTGACCACCTCTCTGCCATAAGTGAACACTATCCAAAAAACCACAATTTTTCGAGTTAAAGCCCTTTTGTTAGAACCTCTCGTAAACGGCCACCCCTCATCAACTAACGCGACCACTCTATCTATAATTTTCCCATGATTGTTTTGAACATCTTGCAAGAAACGTGACTTGACGCATGGTCTGATCTCTAAGTGAGGTTTACGACTGCTAAGCATGGCGGCAAAGTATACAAGTAACTTTTTTTTTCAAAACCATTGAACTATTCACATATCGTAACTTAGACTTTACACGCAATAAGGGACTGGTCAAAAAGTATAGGGGGGGTGGGCCGGAGCAGAGAGTGGGTGGGTCATGAGGTTTTGAGCCTTGTGCAAGGGCTGGGTCGTGCAATTTTCAGCTACCCTCAGGGGGTGGGTCACCCTATTTTTTACTAACTACTAACGAGAAAGTTGACTACACTTGTTATATAAAACACAGCCAGCTGGAGTTATTGCTAAAATACTCACAAACCTTTTGTGCGAGAAAATACAAAGGTTGACAGGCCGCACATCTATACGGGCGTGGAACCCTCTGTCAACCTTTTTTTTTTTCGGCTCTAACGAGCATGTCCTTTAACAATTTTCCTTTTTTGTAAGGAAATGATTGGTGGTTCTTTTAAAATTTATTGAAGTTATAGTTGGTTTTGTATAAGATTCCATTTTTTCATTCAAGCTTCCTTTATAGTATCTACAATGAGGGCTGGTATTGTGTCACGAATGGCAATATTTCTTTTTCCTCCTTGTCGTTTTGTTTTACGAGTTTAGACTCCCTTTTGTGAATTTTATTTCTGATAGTAGGTTTTCTATCAAAGATAGGGGGCACCCAACGAGAATATGGTTCAAAACCACTCAAAAATAGCATTGTTAAACGTATTTTAGTATTTAAACAGTAGATATAGGCATATTTTTATCCCCTAAAAATTTTTCATCTGTTCGGATCTCCTAGCTCAAAGTCTAGTGATACGAAAATTATAGGGATCAAAACTTACCTTTTCGAGAATTTCAGCCAGAAAAAAGGCTCCCGAAAATTCTAGGTGACCTTAGGGTAAAAATCCGTTAAAAATGGGCAATTATACCAATTTTTAAATGTTCGAAAATCCTAGGAGGGGCAGACAAGCAAGAAATTTTACAACAAATGTTCCGAAAATTCTAGATCTCAACTCGTCTTTCGAACAAATATTTTCCGAAAATTGACGTTGGGTGCCCCTGAAAGATTGTGGGTAGCCTCCGTCCGTCAAGCGTTTTTTTTTAAATTTGAATTATTTTCCTCAAAGGTTGTTTCTGAGGAGTTTTTTCGTAGGATTCTTAAGGCTTCTCCTTTGACAAATTCTTTTTTAACATTTGGAGGGTGACACGAGGTGAAATGTGTGTGCAAGAAGCTTTCCGTTTGTTTAAAATGTGTCTTTGCATCAAGGATAGATTTTTCCTTGAATCTTGTGCCTTTGTATACAACAGTGTCTAAAAACGCAGTCTCAGTGTCAAATGTTTCGGCCGTGAATTCAATAGTTAGGTGATGTAAGGTTGCTTGTTCAATGAAGGCTTCGATGTCTGGTTTACTCATGTCCCATAGGGAAAAGATATCGTGTATGTGGCATTTCCAAACTGTTGTTCTAAAGACAGTTTTGCTTAGAGTTGTTGTTTCAATATATGTCATGAAAATATTGGCAAAAGAATCAAAACTGCTGTCTTTGTGCCCATTGCAGTTCCATGGTTTTGTAGGTATTGCTTTCCACTGAAGTGGAAGAAATTTTCGTTGAGGATTAATCTAAGCATTTCCGGCAAGTAATGTGTAGGAATGAGTTGTCTTTGTTGAAATTTTCATATGCTTTGTGACAGATAAATTCAATATACCCTCGTTTTGCTGTATATTTGTGTCAAGAGTCATAACGTCCCCTGAAACAAGAAATGTTCGGTTTTTCACATTTGTCTTTTTAGTGAAAGGTATGATTTCTGTGATTTTGATATTGCTTGTAGCAGTGTATCAACAAATTTTGTAAAGCACAGAACAAGGTTTTATTGGATTATTAAGAGGAAACCGAACATCCATGTTTTAACTAGGGGGTGGGTCATGCAATTTCCAACCTTGCTTTAGGGGTGGGTCAGTCATTTTTGTGCCGAAGGGAAGGGGTGGGTCATTTGCTTTTTATCAACCATATTTCCAAATGCTCCGGCCCCCCTATACTTTTTGACCAGTCCCTAAATTCTCTCCCGAAAGCTAGTAGGTCAGCAACTCCTCTCGGAAGAGTTCCCCTCTTCGATTCTCATAAACGACCACCTGCCTCGAACCTGCCGTGAGCGATCACTAGATCTTTAGAGTTTTGGTTATCGCTCTCGGGAGGTTCGACTGCGTTTTTGAGAGAATCACTATCCAAGACATGGCTATACTCATGTAAATCGAAATGCTAAACGAGGAGGAGAAGAGAAGAAAAGTATATTAATAACGTCCGTTGGTCCGTCCAACGGTCTGACTTCCAATTCAAGTTCCCTCGGTAAGGAGAAACTGATAGAAATATCGTTTCAGCCAAAAATGGAATTCGGGAATCTGTGATTGGCTCAATGCGGTTAGAAACAGTCGGTGATTTTTACTATAGAGTAGGCTAATATTTACCATTTTTCCG